GGCCCTGGGGTCGACTCAGCCTCTAACAGAAATGAGTACCAGGAATATTCTTGAAATATTGTTGTGGGTAAAGGGCGGCCGGCGCCATCTATGAGCCGATTGTCTAGAAAATGTGGGAACCTCAACGTCTCACAACCCTATAGGCCGCCACGGTCTGTTATAGGGATAGCTTTACTTTACTTTAATAGTGATTAAGAAAACTGAATGATACGGAATCACAAATTATGCCCCCGAGAAATGCCTGCGTGAAAGTTAAAAACAAGAACGTCAAACGGATTTAATGTTTCAGTTAGTGACAAACATTCGCAAACTTGGCTTTTAGATGCACTCACACACTCTCCCCTTATCTCTTCTCTTTTTCGCTGTTTCTCCCACTTTGGAGAATAGGCCATCCGTGAACTGCTTGGTTTTACTCCAGTTTCTTAATCCTAAGACAGTCAGTAGGACTCTTGGACGGGGATCAGCTTGCCGCAAGGCCACTACATACACAGGGCAACACAAATATAGAATAACGCACACAGACACCCATGTCTCGAGTGGGATTGGAACCCACGATTCCAGCGTCCTCGAGAGCGAAGACGGTTCATGCCTAAGACCGCGCAGCCACTGTGATCGGCCTTATGTACAATAGCGTTTCGTAAACTTAAAACGTTCGCATACCCTCTTTTGGAACCTTCGCCCATTTATATGTGAATCTGTTCACTCGTAAACAGTCCAGCCTCATTACGCTTAAACATTATGTAAGAAAGCTGTAATCTAAAAATGTACAGAGAAATTGGTGTTATCGGACACGAGACAGAATCTGGAACTATTTCCAGGACTTTCTTCCGCGTAAAACTGTCCATGTAATAGGCCGTGGAGGACCATAGGATTTTGAGACGTCGAGACTCCCACATTTTCTAGATAATCGGCTCACAGATGGCGGTGATTTTGCCGGCCTTACGCGCCGCGGTCACCCTTTACTTCCCAGAAAGATTCATGACACTCATTTCTGTTAGAGGCTGAGTCAATCCCTGGGCCACAGCGCGGCTCGAAGAATTAGGTCAATTGAAAAAATTAACGACCTCAACGAGAATCGAACCCGCGATATTCCGACTTGTAACATGGTGCCTCAACCAACTACTCTACCTCGTGCCCATATTTCCTGCCGCGTAACCCTTGAAAACCTTTTGCGCACCACAGGCGATACGCGAATCGCAATTTGACAAACAGATACACGGATGATAAAAAACGGGAAGATTAGTTTTTATAGAAGAAATATACTCTTAAAGTTTTAGACGTTTTAAAAAAAGGAAACTACATAAAGGGGTACATTTTACTGGCCCCCCCTTTATGGTCACACCAGATGTCACTAACAGACGCAGACATTTATGCCCCTGCAGAAGAGAGGGGTCTTCAAGATTGGCAATATTTCATCCACGAAGTTTTCTTGTTGTTGTTTCTGCTCTGGGGTCCTTACACCGTTCGGAAGTGGGCAGAGATGAAGTTTCGGAGTGTATGCTGCCCCCGTCTTCAGGGTGGAAGCTAGTACGCTGAGTTGGTGTCTGTGTACATGTAGTTTCCTTTCCCGCAGAATCACATTGGGAAAGAGGGGACGGGTATTCCCGGTGCAGGCCAATTGGGTGTCAGCATTAATTACGAACCACCGTGAAATCGTGAAATCAGAATTGTACATCAGTGTTTCTCTTCCTGTAGGACGCGTATCATTGATGGGACTTGAAAGTCGGCTGGGTATGACGTGAAGACTCGAAAATGAGAACTTTCATGAACGTTAGTAAAGTATATAATTTTAAAAATACAGTTCTCAGAAATGGAAAGCCTCATGTTCATTACAGTGGAGCTACGTTATTTCATCTTTGACATAATGACCAGTGGGACACAGGAGAAAAGCGTGACCGAAGCACAAGGCCAGCCAATACTTTTGAATCGAATGAAGTTTATATTATTGTAACTGAATCTAATATACACCCCTTGCCAAATAACGGCCGTGTAAACAGATGAAAGTACAACAGCCATTGTTTGGGAACAGCTCTGTGGACACATTTCGCCGGAAACGAGAGAAAACTCAATAATAGATGTTTTCTTTGCGGTCCGTGTCAAGGCTATACCATAAGGGCTAATAGTTGAGTTAGTTAAGTTGTTTGAGAGTTGCAGGTGTGAAACGTGAAATGCTGGTTGTTGAAGCCGGGGAGAGTTCGGGAACCCAGAGGAAGAAGAACGTCCGCCTTTGGAAACCGCTACCAAGCAACGGCTATTGAAGACTCAGAAGACTTTATGTGTGCTGTAGTTACAGTGACATTTGGAGTGTTTAACTCAGTGAGACTGTCGTAGTTATTTGCAGTTACGTTTTCTAAGTGTTCAGTAGAGCCGATTACCAACACAAACCTCGTCTATACTCAATCATGTGACAATATTCATGACAGCTTTCATAAGCGACGTCTGTCTTAAGGCGCGTCCATATTATTCGTGCTCGTGCTCGTCGGGATACTCGTCTGGCTTTTACTTGTGCTCGTAAATCTTCGTCCACACTACCTCAGTTGCTCGCCAGGCTTCGGCGCGTGAGGATCCGTATATTTACTCGTAGTGTGTATAGGCTGTAGTGGTATTTTAATTTATTGGATATAGTTTTTAAATTAAAAATTTAAAATTTGCTTGTCTCGTGACTTGTCATATCGTCCATATTACTCGCGAGCATAGCGAGTCACACGAGCACGAGTAATGTGGACGCGCCTTTACGGTGT